ACACACACACACACACTCACACACACACAGACTGTGCGTGAGCTCTCGAACCTGTGGAGGCCCCGATGGCTCCGATGAGAACAGAGGGCACAGCCATGACGAGGCACCCGAATGCAGCTATGAAGGAGAGGACCTGGGCGTACGTGGCAGAGGAGGCAGACAGGACTCTCTGGAAATACACCTGCCAGGGTATTCCTCCAAGCATCTGCAGAAACAATTGAGGACGACTGAAGAGCATTCACAGAAACTGAAGTCCAACATAAACATGTCAGGTCAATATTATTTAGCTCAAAATCACAGAACAGGACAAAAAATGAGGATTACACGTTACCAGAGCCAGAACGGAAAAGCTAAACCAGCAACATGCAGTATTTGAACTTATTTTAAATTCTGATGAAATGAAGGATGAATCACTCGCGGTCTCTGTACCAGGAGGCAGAAGTTGTCGATCCAGACCCAGGTGTCGCTCTTGCGGATGCTGCCTCTCCAGGGCGACTGATACACCTGCTTCACTGCAGTAACGGTGATGTCTGACACTGCAGGGTTGGTCAAAGCAAAGGGGACACTGATCCACTGTAGGCGGGAGGAAACAAGAACGCCGGACACAAACATCCAATTAGAGGCTTATTGGATATCACTAAACTCTGGCTCTCGTGCTCTGAAGATAATAAGATCAAACATTATTCATCCCAGATTTTTTTAAAAAACATAGAGCAGGATATAGATGTGATACATGTAGAGTAAGTCCACTGGCATGAAGCAAAAATAAGTGAATAATGAATACAAAATAATCAAGCATCATATTAAGACAACATGAATATAATAGAACAATTGCACCTTATTTGTTTCTAATAATTTCTAGATTTTATGCAAAGAAGTCTTTGCAGTTAATGGCATTGTGCCTATTTCTCACCTTAAGAAGTGATTGAAATATATGTAGCTCAACCTACCAGGCCGACAAAGATACAGAAGAGCTGCACGACGTCAGTGTAGGCCACAGAGTACAGTCCTCCCACCAGGGTGTAGAAGATTGCAATGAGCGCTGATATAACCACCGACACCTGTATGTTGATGTCCACGATGACACTCAGAGTAGCTCCTATAGGGGTTGTGGACAAAAAGATGGACAATGCCACGTATGAAACATTGGATTTCAACACTTGTAGATTTCATCCCCTTCAACAACCTATGTGAACTTACCCAGAGCGGATAAAATGGCAGCAGACCAGAAGATCTCCCCCATGAGTGCAGGGATGAAGAGGAGGCCACCCATACGTTTCCCGTACAGCTGCTGGAACGGGTCCAGCATGGTGACATAACCTCGTGAGCGCATGGGCTTGGCGAAAAAAAGACCACCTGGGAGACAGGGTGCACAGATGTGAGATTTCATAGTGACCCTCCACAGCCCCTGACTGAGAGCGGGGCCATAAATCAGAACAGCAATTTCTAGCAGATATTTATTATTGGATATCAACAAAAACACAAAGAGAAGTATATTTGAACAAATGGAGGTAACAAGATTCACAAGGATTGTTCGGTTACAGAGTCGAAGGATAAACAGAGAATCAAATGCATCGTTTCAAACAGATATCTGGTCAAGAGTCAGTGTTGATGTTTGAATTTTCAAATATTAAGAATATATATATCCATATAGTATCACTCACCTACAACCAGACTGAGGGCATATCCAAAGGGAGCCTGTGCCCAGGCCAAACCAGAATCTGGCAGATACACATACTCAGCTGTGCCATTGATGTAACCTCCTCCAACCCAGGTGGCTGAAAATCACGAAACAAGGTCACAAATCATTAAGGTAGATTTTTCACAAGTTAAAAGGAATTCAAATTATTCTTTAGAAACATGAATCCAGAGTTTCTGATAAATTCACCTGTCATGGTAAATCCACCGACGAATAATCCGATGTCTCTCCCGCCGACCATGATGGTCTCGCTGCGGTCGGTGCCCTCCGCCTCCCCGGAGTGCTTGTTCTTCCATGCCGCCCAGATGCCCACGAACAGGATGAGTAGATAGAAGACCGCGATAGCCACCAGCCCCTCTACATGGATGGTCATTGTCGCACAGGTCTTCCGCTAGGAACGGGCAGGCATGGAGACCTGCTTGGACGCACGGAGGAAAAAAGATCAGATATAAAAGTCAAATAAATCAATTGAGATTTCAGTTTTACCGCATTTCTACAGATTTGTTTATAAGTGGTAAATGGCCTGTAACAATATTTCGATCTGAAAAACAGAAACATTATACTTTGCTGATTTAGAAGATTTCATGCGCTCTTGGAAAAAAATCAAGCTGTAAGCTGAGGCTGTTCCTTGACGCCATGATATGACTTTTAACTCAGTTCATTTCATTTGTGGCGATTATTGATTTGATCACATTAAGTAAAGAGAAAATACTGATTAAAAAAACTGGAGGCTCGAATTTGTATTTGTTCTCTTCCTTTGTGGAAAGTAGTGATACAGTAAGTGCCACACGTTGCCTTCTTAATATAAAGAACCCCCTAAATAAATAAAAACAAACTCTAGAAATATAACGGAATTGGTTTAAAATGATTTCAAATGATAATTTGCGTCAAATCTGTCCTTTCTTTTGGGTCACTTGTGTCTCTACCGCAAAATCCAAATTACGCACAGCTTTCATCAAACAAATATTACCTCCCTGTAAATTGTTACCTGATATATGCGCTAATAATTCATATAGGACATCAGAATGAAATGTATAACATAACTTCTCATCCTCTAAAATAGCATTTGATAAACCGTTTTCAAAAAGAAAACTTGAAAGACATGTAAAACTTACCTCAAGTGTTTCTGGAGTCATGTGCTGGGGACGTGAGGCAGAAAAGGTGCGATCTGAACAGTTGCACGGTTTATGAGGAGCCTGTCTGCGCCGTGAGGACCAGTCAAAAGAAACCCGGTCTCTCGGGTGACTTACGGAGGCTTATAAGGGCGCAGGTGCCGTCAGAGGAACCGAGACGCACGTCAGAGGAACCAAACGTTTCCATTAACGAGCAGCGCGCATGGAAACGCGTCAGAGCGCCAGTTGATCTGACTGGAGGAGGGCTGGAGAGATTCCTTTACTGAGATGGATAAGGACATCTTACTGTTTTTTTTTTTTAAACAACTGAATCACGGAATTGCATGACATGAATTTTAATACCAACGTTGCCTTTTTACGCATCAGATAATCAATGATTTGTGGCAGAGTTGTGGCTCCGGCTCCTTCAGACTCAGTGCGTAACAGCCGCCTAATTGCGCAGCCATACTTCACGTGGCCTTTTATCCGCTGTCACTCTCTCCCAGAGTCAGTATTTTACCTTACAACCGCAATTAACTTTGCACCAACATGAACTGGTTTTACGCGCCTAAAGAGGATGAGAAACCTTGGAGCACTCCTGTCATTGCGCAGGAGAGAAATGTAAGAGGATGCCTCAATTAAAACAAAAACCCAAGTCTAACTACTTAAATTAAATACTTACAGATTATTTTTCTTTAGTTAACAGCAGCTCTTACTCCCATGGGTTTATTAATCACTAACCTTCCTTCTCGAGCACAAACGTTTTCTGAGGCCTGAGCCTGAATCCTTCGACTGAAATGCTCCTTTACCTCTGAGCAATTAGACATCATTTAAGTGAACTGTATCTGCCACTTTCCCTTCAGGATACATATCAATGAACTGTGTCCACTTAAGGGGCCTCTGCTGCCTGAACACCTTTAATCTGCTGCTCCTGTCAAAACTGACAGGCTCCCAATTAGGATGGATCCTGAAGAGCAGCGCACAGATTTAATGATACCGTCTGACTTAAAGGAAAAAAACAACAACCTGGAACACACACACAAACTCACCAAGGGAGAAAAAAAACATGGACGTTATTTGCTGAAGTCGAGGTTTAGTCACACAGCAGGAGAAGGGTGTCACGTTTATTTTAAACGGCGCCCCCTTTTGGCAAGGCAGCAGCACAGTTTCAGCAACACCCATGGAGGAACGGGTCTCTAGTTTATCAGGTTGAAGGTTAATATTCATACATATTATTTTATTCTTACGATGTCCATATTATATGATTTGGCTTTTCCATTATGAGCTGAGATAATATCTTTATTTTTGATGTTCGGTCTATGAAACCCACCAGATGGAATTGTGTTTTATGAAAACCCAGTGAGATCTAAACTGGTCCCCATATAACCAGTGTACTGAATTAAGACATTTTCTTTTCTGTTCTACAACATATTTTGTTAAATTCAGAATAAAAGTGACAACAATATTTTAGGTTCTGCTTGAGTGTTCAATCGTGTGTAAAACCTATTCCTATTGAAAGTAACACAAAAATACAAATAAAGAGAGACAAGCCACACCGCACATTCTAAGCATTTGAATAATTAGAATATCACTGACTTTTAATCTAATTATTTTTGACATCAGATAAGTGATTCTGTGCTACACTGGTGCCAAAAGCTAAAACCTCCAGATGACAAGAGGTAATACGGTTTGACAGATGGTTGCCACATGACCATGACACCTTTTCAAGCCAAACACTGAAGCTGAGCCTCTGCAGGTTTGATACCAGCCACGTTCACGATATCCACAATCATGTCATTATATCAAACATATACAGAGAACACTTCACAGAATGAAGTGTGTGCTGAACAGCATAACAACACGGACCCTCAGAACCTGTGGAATTGAATGCTTATGTTAAACCAAATTAATTGTTCAGTTCCCAAGAACTTGAGGTCTAATGAGCAGCTGTTGCTGGCAGCGCTCAAGATGTTCGAGAGCTATATATATATATATAGAGAGAGAGAGAGACACATATAGAGACAGAAACAGAAAGAGAGAGACACAGAAAGAGAGAGACACATAGAGAGACAGAAACAGAGAGAGAGAGAGACGTATATATATATATAGAGAGAGAGAGAGAGAGAGAGAGAGAGAGAAAGAAAGACAGCAAAAGAGACAGAGAGAGATAGAGAGTCACAACGAAGGACACAAACAAGAAATCTGAAAATATATATTGTACCACTATTCCATTAACTACTTAATTTGTACATTGTTTTTGTTAAAGTGATTCTTTAACTGTCTTTAATATTTAATTTGATAACACATTTTTGCGCAGATAAGACCTATGAAAACACGAAACATGATTTATTTAGTTTTGCATTTACTATTTATTACACATACAGTGTAATAATCAAAATACATAAAGCTCATGTGATGGTACATTGTGAGGAAACAATCTATAGCTAAAGTGAACTTGTGCTCCTTGTTTTTAAATACAATGTCTGGAGGATTTGAAAAAGAAAAAGTTTGACCAAATGTAAATCACCACTTGGAAATGTCCTCCAATTACAAATAGAGAACACATTCCAGAATCACTGTCGCCCCTTAAAGCCTGTACAAGTAGGAATTAAATGTTTAGGACTTGGGTGTCACCCAGTGGTATAAAAACACATGTCTGATATGAATGTAACATAATTAACATACAAAACTAAATTCAAAAAAACAAACAGGGATCATGTCCCATCCACTCTCATACATTCTACTGTATTTGGAACCATGAAAAGTGAACAGCGCTGTAAAAACTCCAGTCATTAATCTTATCCTCATATTTATGTCTCAAGTCAGTGTCAAGTGTTTGTGGTGGGGAAAAAAACAAGTTGTATCTTCTGCAGTTTGTGATATCTGTAGGATTTAAATGGGATTTACAGATGAAACATTTATGTTACTACAAAATATTTACAATAAATCACTTTTACTTTTGACTCAAAGCTACTCCTTGCTATATGGCTAAGGTCTAAGTGATGAGCTTGGCAAACGCCATCAGACAGAAAAAGAAGCAACTGCACTCTGTACATTTTCAAATCAAGCTTTCGGCCCCAGACTAAAGAAGAGGACCAATAGTTTGCATCATGAGGAGACTGAGCAGATATTTTGTTTGAGATTATATACTTAAATTAACTATATGAAGTATTTTGTTTGAAAACAGTGTTTTTCTTTGAAAAAGGAAATAAGGCAAATATAAAAACTAGTTGAAAATCAGGCAAACTAACTTGACAATCATTCATCACTTGTTCCAGCTAAGTTAAGTATTATTTATATTTACTTAGCCACAAGTAACAATATGTACAACAGAATCTACAGCATCCCATACAACATTTAACTGACTAAAATTATAACCTTCAGTATGGAAAATATATTTTCACAACTACTAAAAAAAAAGATCGATGTTAACGAAACAGGAGCAGAGCTGTGTCAAGTCTTTGGAGCTATACCATAGTAACAGTTGTTTTTAATGTGCTTGAGGAGGTGATTCTTGCCTCTGAGAGCTAACACATAACACAGCAACTAACATGTTTGTCTTCTCTACAAGACATCCTAGGTATTCATGCTCCTTAGAAGAAAGACAGCACCAACCACAATGACTGTTTAAAGCAAGGAATGGGAGGGATAATGTCAATAGAAGTAAATGTTGACATGTTACTGCTCCTTTTAAACGGCTGTATTTATTAATTTAAAATCAAAAAGATATGATGGAAAATGAGAATTTGCCCAAATTGAACTCCCTGACTTGTATGTTTCTCATTAACCTGGGATTTGTATTGTTCTAACTGGTACCACAGAATGAGATCATGGGCTTTGATTGTCCCAGTGAACCACAAAAATCCAAGAACCACCTCAACTCCTCATTAAAAACATTACTATATTTCTGTACTTCTGAAAACAAGGTCAACACATCTTACATGACAGACTTTAACAGATGCTGTTTCTTCCAGCGTGTTCTCTCTGGCCCTCATGTTCTCATTGTTTTGATTTGATCTGGAAAAGAAACGTAAAGAACAGAGTTTATCAGCAAAACACCTGGACAGTGTCATGTATACAGACGCCCTCGTGATCCTGACCAAAACAAATTCATTTAAAGTGAAGACTGATGAGTCCATTATTATGTTCAGAGGTCAAACTTGTTTTTAAGTTAATTTAACAGCTCACAAACGTGGTGGGTTGTTGTTTGCTGGTTTCCAATTGCCAAAAATGTTATCAAGATAGAAAAAAAGAATTCATATTCCAAGTTTAAAGACTGATTTCTGCTCCTGAGTGAAGGTTCCTCACCTCATGAAACAACACACACCCTGTTTTAACATCGGAAATGTGAAACACTCTAAACTGTTTTCATTTGTGTGAACTCTTATCATACCTTGTAACCAGTCGACTCCCTCCTGTAAACCTTCTCCTTTCAGAGCATCTGTGGCACTGAAAAATATGAAGATACATTAAGAATTTTGCTGTAACCTACAACCATTTTTTCACTGTGAAAGAAACAACCAAACCTCTAATCACCACCTCTGTGTTACATCATTCATATCCATCACAGCAAATGCATGTAAATATTTTGCTGGTGCCAGTTGTGTCTCTTAGCTACAGTAAATACTGCAACACTTAACACTTAGCATGTCTACACAACTATTTGACAAGGATACTATTCTTTATGTTTTGAAATTGAAACAGTGAAACTAGCTGCAAGATATCAAGACGAATGCCATAGACTGAACAGTACCAAAAACATTTTTATTCCATTTTGAGATCACTACTTTCTGAAGTCAGCATAGTTATGGACAGATCCTAGTTGCTTAGAGTAATTTGCCATGTCTGTCAACGCCAACAGAGCACAGATGAAGAGAAAAATCTGTGTGCGCTGTGCAGAGTGTATTTCACAGCAGACAACAGTTCATCACTGATACATGTTTTCTCAATGACACTGGAATGCAGCAGTAATTAATTAGCAAATATGTGTTGATGTGTGTTCATACCAGATGTGCCAGGGTTTGTCTTTGATGTTCTCCAAACAGAGCAGCTGGGAGACCTTGACTGACGACAGAGCCTCCCTGACATCCATCTTGTTTGCAAAGAAAAGGATGGGGATCCTCCTGTGTTTAATATCTGTGGAGAAACACAGAGAAAGTTTTGAGCATCATACATTTGTGAAGAAACTCACTCAAAATAACCAGAAACAATGATTTGAAACAGTAACAAAAAAGATGATCAGGTGATATGAAATTAGATTCATTCGGAAAAATTAAATGTATATTAATTATCCCAAAGGTTTATTTTTATACTGTGCTATAACTCAAGAGGGAGATAAAAAGCTGATTTCAACCAATGCAAGAACATGATCAATATTTGTGCAAAATGTTATTGAACTAACCTGGATGATTTAGTAATGTGTCCAGTTCTTCTTTGGCAACAACCATCCTCAGTTTGTCTGCACTATCAATGACAAATATGATCGCCTGACCTTCCCTGTGGAGAACAATGTGATTTGAGAAGTTAATATGTATATCTACATCATACATGGCAAAGAAGATTTTTGTTCCATCTGCACACTCACTTGTAGTAATGCTCCCAGAGGTTTCTGTACCTGCCTTGACCTGACATGTCAAACACTGTGAAGGAAAGACTATAAGTCGAGAGAGGAGAGGAGAGAAGACCAGAGGAGACCAGAGGATATTCATTTGTGACAGACAAATACAACTGGAAAAGGAACATTTAAAAAATAGCAGGAACAGCTACCTGGAGGTCTTGAACTTCTCTATGCTGAAACCAATGGTTGGGACGATGTCTTGTGCCTGGGCCTGAAAGACAAATGCAGTGTTTTCTCAGCAGCAGGTAAAAGTATGGGAGCAAACATTGCAACATACCTTCAAATCTTTTCTAGTTAAAGGTCCAGTGTGCAAGATTTAGGTGAAAGGGAACTATTGGCAGAAATTTAATGTAGAATAATCCTCATGAAGTTTTCACTAGTTCGTTTCATCTAAATTGCATGAGTTGTATTTTTCTTTACCCCAGAAAAGGCCCTTTATATTTAAATACTTTATATTTACATCCTCTCTATGGAGGCCGCCATGTTTTTTACAGTAGTCCAGACTGGACAAACTAAACACCTTTTGAGTTTTTATGACAACTGAAGTCTACCACCGTTTCTTTTTCATGTTTGGAAGGAGAGGGTGAGGTGAGGGGTGTTCAGCTGCAACATGCAATTTCAACACTAGATATCACACAATTCTACACACTGTACCTTTAACAAATTGTATGAAATATGCACACAGTATAATTAAAGACAAGCACATGGTGCAGTCAGTGATGTGGAATATGGAAGAGCACAACTTCAAATTCATGGAATCACTAATTAAATTGGAGGATAGATAAATGCTACATTTATAATGCGAGACTGAATAACATTTCACACATTAGTTATGTTAGAAACACACAGACTTACATTGGAGGGCTTGAGTTTGTTGATGATTGTGGTCTTTCCGCTGTTGTCCAGACCCAGACACAGAACATTCACCTCCTTTTTCAACCCCAGCCATCCCGCCAACCTGTCAAACAGCCCCATTGGCTAGCCAGCAACCATCAGCTGTCTGTATGATCTTCAAGAAACAGAACATAAAAACTGTAACATTCACAATGTAACACCTCAGCTGATGGATTAAACAGGGGTATTTTAAAGGGGTCCAGGAAAGCTCAGAACATCAACACATACATCGACAAATACGCTAAAGGTCAAATATGTGATTTGACTGACTACCTGATTTATTACCTGTATTGTTTTTCAGAAATGAAATAAAAAATCTGTACTTGAAATATTTGTATAACTCAGTTTGTGACGTGTGCAACATTTTCTCTCCATACATGAACAATTTTATAATCATTTCAACACTCCTTGCCTGCGTCCATGTTTCCTTATTGAATGATGTTCAGAAACGCATATGCACAGATCTGTGTATATGCTAGGGTTGTTCGGTATACCGGTACTAAATTTAAGCCTGTCTTTGTGGTATTTTATTTTATTTACTGATGCATAATATTATAGTTCTAAGATTTTCAATTAAAATAAARTCAATAATGACATTTTTTGTGTTCTCTTTTTATTTGGAAAAGTACCGAAAAGTATTGAAATACATGTTGGTACTGGTGACAACACTAGTATATGCGATTCTGAACATCACACTCTCATCATTGTATTATTTGTATAGCCCATATTGACAAATCACAGTTTGGCTAATATGGCTTAGCAAGGTCTGACATCCTCTGTCTCTGTGAAAACTACCAAAAAAACCCTATTAACAGGGCAATAACAGTCCTCTGTGCAGGACGGACAGAAGTACAATAGATGCTGCGTGTAACTGAGAACATCAGCAAACATTACAACACTGAAAAAACAGTTTGTGACATAATGGAAAAGTGTGTCAATGTTTAAAGTACAACATAGTTATTGTGTATTATACTCCATCTCTTTCTATCTTACTATCTATATACTACGTTAAATTTACTGCATTCACAAGTGTGATGTTGGCAGAACTGTCACAGTCATGAATTAATACACTTTTTACATCCCCCTTCTCTTTAACCATGATTTCCAACACATCGGACTGAGCAGAGACTCTACAAGTCGCCTTTACACCTCCTCTCCTGAAAACACTAATCTGTGTGTAAGTGTGTTCATTAGCCGCAGAGCAAAGGCTAACAACAGCTTCCAGCAAGAGACATTAACTCGACGACTTTTATTTGCTAACCGCTGGCTTAAGCTAACATGCTTACCGGGGTTCTAACGTAATTAACATTCGCTATTTAGTTAATCTCTTGTTGTTAATGTTGCTAGGTAGCTAACGCTTAGCTTCTCAAGCTTCCTGAGCGGTGTCTCACATTTAAGAGTCCCCCGCGGCACTTTTTTTTTTTAAGTTGTCCGTTTTATAAATAAAGCGACAAGTATGAGACACGACGAAGGAAACACATTAAAACACCCACACTTTCGTGTTAGCATCACAGTTGAGGCTAACACGCTAGCTGTGTGTAGCTAACGTTAGCTTGGTGCTATCGTTCACCGCACGGTGCTGTAGAAGCTGGGTTTTACCTGTAGTTTGGCCTCGGGTCCTGTCTCTGGGATGAATTAACGCTTCCCTTCAATTAATCCATCAAATAACCAGGTTCAAACCAGCGTCTCACTCATTCCTCCTGCTCTCCATGCGCTTCAGTCCGGAGAGGGGGAAAACCACCGGGTTATTTACATGCTGTTGCTGGGAGACCGCTGAGCTCACTCAACACCGCCGCCCACAGGCCAAACACGGAAGTGTCCTGTCTGTGTACAAATCTGAATAAGCGTGAAATCATCTGTAATGATTGTAATCAGTAAAACTGTTTCATTTATCATTTGTTGTTTTATTCTTATAATAATTATAATCCAGATGAGAGTATCAGAGGACATTTAGGCTAAAAACATTTGTTTTTTTTACGTTTGAAGAAGTGGTCACCATTTACTTCATTAGTTTTGGATTTGGCTGCAACACTGTTCACCCCTGAAACTCCTTCAGTGTTCTGTGGATCAAACACTTCACCCACCCCTCCATCGGCATAGTGGTGAGTAGATGAGTGACTTTCCATTTTGGGTACTTTACCTTTAAATGCAAATCCTCAGTATCATGAAAATGTATGCCTTTCTAAAAATAAAAAACAGTACATCACATGTAATCCAAAAGATTAGATTTAGAACAAAGAGGAATGTACTGTTTGGTTAACCATCAAGCCTTTCATCATTAACCTTCCAGCAACTGTTTGACAAACTCACCTGACAATTCTTCATGTCCAGAAAACGTGTCAGTCTCTCAAGTGACAATTAAGAGGATGCTGTATTGTGAATGTGTGTTTGAGAGAGACGGCGTGCATCCATAGATACTTGTGCTAATGTCCATGAGAGACTGATGTCCGGGGCCTGTGGTGGTTAAAGTCTGAGAGAAAACAAAGTATTAAAATAGGCTTGTTTATTAAGGAACAAACATACTGAATAAAACATATGACTTTCACAAGACTCTTTGTACAAGACATACTGCATTATCATGAGGATAGAACATACACATCTAAAAAATCTTTTTGACATTCAGCGGTCTTCAGTTCAAAAAACATGATTGTATTTATCATTCTGTCAATCTTTACTTCTGGTGAATCAATTCATAATCCAGCTGGAAAGGTAGCTACTAAAATCACACACTTTGTTCCCCATGTTACCGTCTTATATCCACATCCTCTCTGGTCATGAGGTAACAGACTGGAGACCTTTCAAAGTCCATAGAAACCGTTGGATTGTCACTAGGAAAGAGAAGAGGTATCGGTGGACACTTGAAAAGACACTGGAGAGAAGATGTCCTAAATTCAAGTGAATGCTCGTGATTGCTGAGATATTATAGAGACCGCATTTGGCCAACGCAGACAGAGGTTGGTTGTTGTGGAGGCTGTGTTGATAATGATCCATAGGATGATGAGTGTGTTATAACTAGACCAGATGTGGTCTAGTGGTGGACTCCTTTCTCACAAGCAGTGTGCGGTGTCAGTTACACCAAACAGTCTGGTGTTGGAGCGCTGGTTTGTTTCCAGCTCAGTGCACGCGCACACACACACACAAACACACTTATAAAGTCTGTCTTTGTGGAGTGGCCTCACACTTGAAAGCCACTCTGTTGGATGTGGTGAAGCTGCAGACGCAGAGACTGTATGCTGCTTATGATTCTCCTCTGGTGACCAATCAAACAGATCCCAATACGCCTGATGTCACTGAGGGGGAGAAGAAGATTTATACAGTTTGAATAATCATAGAACAGCAGCAAATGTATTAGATCAAGGCAAACATTCAGCACAGCAGAAAAGAAAATAGTATCATTTATATACAGTCTATGGTACAGATAAAGATCATTTACATTATTGGAACAATAAAACCGTCCCTTTGTTCCAATGTTCCAAACTTCTTTTTGCTGCTACTCCTACTCTTCTACCTCTCCCTTCTGTTGATGTGCTTTTTGATACCACAGCTACACTCTGTGTGATTCAGCTTCACTCACTCTACACTCATGGTTGAAATAGAATCCAGTGTTGTGTATCCTGCTGCAAGGAAGTTGTTCTTGTACTGGCACATTTTGATGGAGTCGAGCCAGTCACCGATGGAGATGAACAGAGGGTAATCTGGCATGTCCTCCGGGGACTCGGAAAAACTAGACAAACAGAAAGTTAAGCAGAGTATAAGTTCAATCCTATTCAAAGCTGTGTGCTGTAAACCTTGTATCTAAATTATTACAAACCATTTTCCGACATGCAGAACTTTCTATCTCTCTCTCTTTAGTTCATGCAGTCTGGGGTTAAATCCACATTGAGCGACTTGTAAGATCAGCAGTGAATCCCTTCATACACTATAATATTCATTAAAAAAAGTAATTTACAGTAGACTCTACAAGTTTCCATATATTATCCATATCCTTGTTCTTATAGGCTGGATATTCCAAAAAATATACCACAAAATACTTTACTCTTAGTCAGATAATGCTCAACCTAGAATGCTTTCCTTAAGCGCCAGTTCACCGAACAGATTCTACTTGGAACTGCATTGCCAAACTATAATAACTCACAATTATGTATTCACTAACCCTCCAGGCTTATTTATCTCCAACACGTATTTTGTTCCAGAGGATGTTCATATTACTCATTACATTATTACATTTCATTTCGCTGACGCTTTTATGCAAAGCAACTTACAATAATGCTATCCTACTGAAATGAAAAGCAATGGCAGCATCAGAGGTGGGAAATATTCATATACAGTATTATGCTTTGGATAACAGTACATTGTACTGTGAAGGTCACACAACTTGTAGTTACTGGACCAAAACACGCAAACGCTCTCACAGTGTTTGTGTGAATCGATACTTACCTCTGAACATCATTCACCAGCGTCAGCAGGCTGCTGGGATTGATTATAAGTTTGTCGAGGAAAGAGAGCACGTCGCTGAAGCATGGCCGCAGGCTGGACTCCTTCTGCCAGCAGTGCAGCATCAGCTGGTGAAGTGTCACAGGGCAGCCCATTGGGGCTGGCAGGCGGTAGCCCTCTTCAATTGATAAAATGACCTGAGAGGAACATAATGTTGTATCCACCACACACAGTTATACTCCTCATATAAGATATATACAGTATAAATCACATGCTGTGTTCACCAAGCCTGAGTGGCTGTGGAATTTTGAATTTGATTAGCATCTTACATCTTGATTGGACATCTCCCAGTAGGGCCTCTCGCCATATGACATCACTTCCCACATGACAATGCCGTAGCTCCACACATCGCTTGCTGAAGAAAACTTTCCATAAGCGATAGCCTCCGGTGCCGTCCAGCGTATCGGTATCTTTCCTCCCTTACAAACAGTGGTGACAGAGAAGTTTTGTTAAGGAGACCATCAGAGGCTCAGCAACATAAGTCCTCACAATTCTGCACCAGCTGTTCGATCCTCACTCACTGTTGCAGTGTAGGCTGCTTCACTGTCATCTTCAAGGACTCTGGACATCCCGAAATCTGACACTTTACACATCAAGTTTTCATCCACCAGGATGTTGCGGGCGGCAAGGTCTCTGTGAACATAACCCATGTCTGATAGGTAGTCCATGCCCACTGCGATGCCACGCAGCATACCGACCAGCTGGAGCACTGTGAACTGACCGTCACGAGTCTGGAGAAGGTGTGAGAAAGAGAGAGGACAAATAAGGTGTGAGAAAGAGAGAGGACAAATAAGGTGTGATGAAGACAATATCTCCTAACTTCAAAAGGCCATAAACATGACCATTGACCACCCAAATCTAATTATTGAATCTGTGAATCTAAGCGAACATTTGTGCCAAATTTGAAAGGATTCTCTTGAGGCATTCTTAAAATAAAGCATTCACGAGGCAAACATGGTTTTGTGAGGTCACAGTGACCATGACCTCAAATTTCTGGACGGGTTGGACGGACGATGTGAAGACATAATGACTCCAGGCATTAAGTAACAGGAGTGTTATGTGTTTTGGTGCCAACCAGTTCTTGGCATCTGTCATGTGCCTTGAGACAATCTCAATTCTCAAGATAACAATATTGATATGGCTGATAACGACCTAGACTTGTTATCTGCACCCTCCCATATACTATAGTACTGAGATGTTTCTTTAGTGCTTCAAGCTCTTTGGTGTGGCTGTTTGCATGTGAGCTGCACCAAGAATCTCTCCAAAAACAACTGAGGGTCCTTGATATGATCCATGTATTCACCACTGTGAGTACCACCAAGAACATCAGATTTAAAAAAGGAATAAATAACTAAATAGAATAATTAAAACCTGTTTTTCTTCATCTGTTTATTGCATATATTCTTCTCACCCGCAGGAAAGAATCAAGTGCTCCATTTTCCATGTATCCCACGACTATCATCACTGGTCTGCCTGCAGGAAATGTTGAGAGACATGATTTGAACGGTGGACAGAGAAAAGAGACCAAAGTGAAGATGCATGTGTGCACAAACACTCAAACAGAGCTTACTGTTAGTGACGACTCCCTCCAGCCTGATGATGTTGGGGTTGTTGAACTGTCCCATGATCGAGGCCTCACGTAAAAAGTCTCTCCGCTGTTGTTCCATATAACCACCTTTAAGTGTCTTTATTGCCACAGCGATGTCCATCCTTCCAGGTACACGCAAACGACCACTACACACTTCTCCAAATTCACCTGCAATGTTTTGAAAACAGGTCATTGCACACCGCCTCCATCAGATGGCGCCCATGTCACAAAAAACCTACAAATGGGAGACACCTTCATGGATGGAATGACCCAATCTGTTTAATTTAGTGAACCATCAAACATTATTACTCACAGTCAGCAGGAGTGGATCTGCTCCTCTGAGGTACAATATAATAAAGTACTTCAAAATCAGCTTGCTAAGAGGATATATTAATTTAAAAGTAAAACTTTATGGGGTTTAACATTTCTCATAAAATACAATTGTAACTCTGTGTAAAATGTGTCACAGGTGCAGGTTAGCTATCACTGGGAAATTTTACATATGCTTATGTTATATACCAATTTAGGAAATAATACAGATTAAGATAATGGCATGTGCAAAATAATATTTTCTTCCAAATTACAGATCACTTGTTATCAGAAGTTAATGATTAGTGTGGATTTTACCTGCACCAATCACTCTTTCAATGCAGATATACGAGGGGTCAATCTCTTTAGCAAATTCCTCCACAGCCTGAGTGGGGTCTTCATACGTGTCTGGATCCACATATGTCTTTATTCCAGAAAATGGGACTGGAAGACAAGAAGCACAACATAGTGTAATATTTTACACATGATTTTTGAGTAGAATCTCTACTCAGTCCTCCTGGAGCAAGTTCACAAGAATTTGGAGCATATAACAGATGGAGCATATTTTCTACATTGGTACACAACTCAAACCCTTTAAATATGGCAGATTTACAGATGCTTTCCTGCAGAGCATATTTGCAGAGGACATTTTTGAATCTTATAGACACATGGTACAGTCATGTCAGATTTATAAATGATGGATGGAAACATTGGATCTGATGTGTTTAAAAGTAAAAAATATGTGCAGATCTTATAGATAAATACAGATGAGATCAGATACAGATAATGTGCTTTGTTCAGTGTATACAAAGTATGGAATTACATTTGATAACACACAGCAATCACCTGTACAGTAGGCCTACAGTTCAGTATAAGATGATGAAGTGCATCACAGTGTTAAAGGGCTTAACTTGGCACTGTATACGGTCTACACACATATATGGTCTTTGACTTATAGGAAATAAACTCGTTTTGCTCCACAACATTTGTTTGACTTTGCAATTTCTCATATGAGGTTGTCTTATATATATATTCAAAATAAAACCCTTAAGCAAAAGTAAAGAGGTAATGAATAAACAAATGAATGAATGAAGCTAACGTTTTATTTTTGTTGAGACTGTACCAGAGAAGTTCATTCTTGATTTAACTACACTCCATCGCTGGTGTATCTTCTTTTTTATTATGAGGTTTCTCTGCTGTTTTGTGGAATGATGGAGAAAAAGAGCAGAAAAGAGACAGAAAGTGTTGAGAAAATGCCTCAGAGCTTCGTGTATAAAGACACTGCAGGTAGCCAGACTTCAACATGCTCCTCTGTGGCGGAGGCTGGGGATGATGTCACACTGAGCGCTGCGCATTATAACTGGCACAAATGATAACTTGAAGAAGCCCCTGTTACACCTCGTGCAGATGAGCTGGGGACCGAGTGTACTTTTTAGCCGTGTTAGCTCGTATTGCTCAGGTTTGAAGGCTTTGTCTGAAAAATATTCCATTTTGGAGTCGATGCTCTGCCTCTGTCTCCTGAGTGTCTGAGCTCAACTCTATAATAGAACAAGACTTTTCCAGCCGTTTGTTGAGCCTGCTGGCGTCCCCCTGCCGAGTTGAAGCCTTCGCAGCACACGACAGCACAGAACAAACAACAAACACAGACTGTGGAAGGAGTAATAAACTATAACAGCTCAAAGTATTTTCACAATATCTGATGAAAAGAATCATAAATGTGTATTTGTACTGACAACTGAGTAAAAATGTAAATGAGAAAAAAGTATGAGCAGCAAAACTCTGTCTGTTCACTGGAGGAAAATATATAAGACGATATGAAGC